GTGAGGAAATTCTTGCAAGATCTAAAAGAGAAAATACACACTATAAAATAGAATCAAATGGACCTGTTAGAGATGAAGGCTATAATACAAGAAGTCAAAACCTCCCTTGAAAGTATTAAAATCAGACTAGATCATACATAAAATCGATTCTCAGATGTAGAAGATAGAATTCTGACTTAGAAAAATCCACCATGAAGACTGAGAAAATTGTCCCCAAAAATAAGAATAATATATGAGAAATACTAGATACTATCAAACATCCAAACATCCAGACAATTGGTATCCCAGAAGGCAAAGAGACTCATAAGGGTATTGATAATCTATTCCATGAAATCCTGCAAGAAAACTTTCTAAATCTAGAGAGGCATTCAAAGATCTAGTCCCAAGAAACACAAAGGATCCCAAACAGAATCAACCCGAGATCTTCTCCAAGACACATTATAGCCAGATTGAGCAAAACCACAGACAAAGATGAGATACTAAGATTGGCAAGAGAGAAACATCAAGTTACCTACAAAGGATATCCCATTAGGCTAATAGTAGACTTCTCATGGAAAACAATGTAAGTGAGAAAAGAATGGGAAAATATACTCAAAGTGTTAAGGGAAAAGCAATTTCAACCAAGAATACAGTACCCGGCAAGATTATCATTCATAGGGGAAGAAAAGACAAGAACATTCTCAGATAAACAAAACCTGGAAGAATTTACAAACACCAGACCAGATCTCCCAGAAGTTCTCAAAGGAATGCTATACCAAAACACTTAAATACAGACACAGAGAAATAAGAGTTCAAAAACTAAGAAAATGGCCAACTTAATGGCAGGGACAGGTCTGGAGTTGTTGAATATTATATTCCAGAATGTAATCAGGACGATCGAACCACAACAGAAGATAGATTAAGTGCATGAGACTGAACTGGTGAAATAGAATTTTATGACTTTTGACTAAAGCATTGCTGATTTTCTTCTAGGCTTTCTCAGTTTTAAGAATTTTTGTTCTGTCTTGGGCTGCCGATAGGTTCATGTACCTGCTATTTGAACAGAATCCTAACCTGTTTCCTGGCTTTAAGTTTTAAGCAATGTGCCTTAGCATTTCTTTGATTTATTAAAACTAAAATTGCTTTTCTTGAAATTAAAAAATATATATCAAAAATACCTATTTAATGACTGAAGTAAGCTATATATCATCAGCTAGGTGCTACTTTACAGTGTATTCATTCTACTCAGAGTTTCATGCCTAAAGTCAGACATGTGTTCACATATAAGCATATACCAACTGAACTTGCTATTGAAAGTAGTTAGATTATTTAAGAAATTTTGTGAATCAATTAAATGTGTGTGTGGGGGGAAGGAATGGAAAACAACTGTTAGACACCTGAGATAGTGGGAGGAGGGTGGGAAATGGCAGAGTGAGAAATAGGGGAAAAGCATGAAACTAGAAATGGAATGGCACAAAGAGGTGTGGTCTTATCTGTTGAACATATTTTGTAGTTTTCTCAACTGTACTAGGGAGAAATGTTCACGTGTTGAAATATCCACTTTGTAAGATAAATTAATACTGTGACTGAATGTATAAAAGAACATGAAATGAAAATAATTAATTTAATAAAAAAGAAACTAGAAATGGAAAATTATTGATGTTAACAGGTAAGATTAAGCCACTATGCAGTGTACTCTGGATGGGAAATCATATTTTGTATGCTGTGATGATGCTCAGGGAATGAAGGAAAAAAAGGAATCAAGCAGGGGAGCTCTGTGGCACAGTGGTAAAGTACTGCTCAAGATAAGCCAGATCCTGCATGACAATCACGGTTCAAATCCCTGGCCCAGTCACTCTGAAACATGCCAGGAGCACACACTAGTGCCCAGGATCCAGAGGGCTGGAGGCCTGGAGGAAGGGGACGGTGGGTGACCAGATACTTTCTATGGAGAGTGCTCCCATCTCCCTCTTTCTTACTCTCATATGTACGTGCACATGCTCTTCACTGATACAGAAAAAAAAAATTTGAAAAAAATTGCATTATTTGAAAATCTAGCAGTTTGATAATTAAAACTTTAACAAACTAAAAAAAAAAAAAAAAAAAAAAAAGCTAAGTGACAGAATTTTGATCGTAATGACCAAAATAACTACACAACTTGTTTTCTGTCTAGTCTTGAAAATGTTACTTGTAAATAAAAGGTGACCAAAGGGATCAAGTAAACAAGATAACCAAAGTCAGAACCAGACCAAGATGAAGAAAATCAATTTTCAAGAGTTTATAAGAGAAAATAATTTCTTAATATTGTTGATTCTATCCCAAATTCTAGCATTCTTTCTGCACAGCCCATGGAAGAAGTGACCACTTTTCTCAGAGCAAATGCTTTGGATTTAGTATATAGTTTCTTCCCAGTTGGCCATGCTGGTTGTCAGGTTGTCAAAAAATTAAACCTCCCTGGGGACAAGCAGTTAGCGTAATGGCTATGTCCCTGAACTCCCACGTAGTCGACCGTGGTTTGAGTCCCGGACCTGGTGGCTTAAACTCATTCCGGGCGCGTGTGCGTGCGTGCCCAAGATCCTGAGAGGAGAATGGAGGAGAAGGGATTGCGGCATGGCCATCCCCCTGGAGGGTGATTTCTCGCTTTCTATCTCTCTGTCTCTCTCTGTCTGTCTGGCGAGTGCACATGCCCTTTAGCTAAAACCTCTCAAAAAAAAAAAAAGAAGAAGAAGAAGAAGAAGAAATAAAATGAAACCTCCTTGGATGGAAAAGCCAGGACTTCACCCTGACATTTTAACTCTGTAGCTGATACACAGCCACCTTCCTCTGTAGCCGCACTCAGATCTAAGTTGGCTGTACTATGTTTGCTTTCAAAACCCAAGCCAAAGTGAAGCGATGCTATCCTTAGGAGAGCAGAGGGAAGACGGTTCCATGTTTCATGTTTTCTTACCTGCTCTTTATCAGAACATCTGAGGGTCTGGATTGTAACCATACACTCACATTAAAAAACAATCACCTTACCCTCAATATGTCAAAATGTTATCAGGAGCCCTGCATCAGCGATCTGATGTCCCACTGATGGCCTAGAGCTTTCTCCCTGTCCACTGCCCTATCTGTTTCAGCAACATGAAACCCTGGAGTATTTACTGACATTTCCTTCAAACTCATGAAATGCCCTTCTCTTACCAGCAGAGGGAGGCCTGATCCACTCCCTGAGCTCTGAGACTGCTCAATGAGGTCCCTCAGGGACTCTCCAGGGGGAATGAAGGTTTCATCCTGTTCTAGCCCAATGCTGTACCGAGGTCTGGTTTCTTGTCTTTTATACCTAAAGATGGATAAATGGAGATAATTTTAGATACTCAAAAACAATGACAGGGGACACACATGGCAGATTAAGCAGTAATTACAGCAGGTTTTATCTTGGCACATAAATACAAGATTAAATGCTTCATATATGTTACCCTTAGTTTGGTTTAAAAGACAATTATTTGCCCACCTCAACTTTAAAATAAACTATTTGTTTTATTTCCTCATCCTCAATCATCTAACTTTTTCTTCTCTATTCCTTTCAAATGCATACTCAAGCAGATGACATTTGGTGAGAGTTTCTAAGTAACTCTAATATTCACTTCCTAAAATCCTTCCCTTAAAGGTGACTCATGAAAGATGCAAATTTTTGGTTTGCAAAAAACAGGAAAGCTAACTCTCTCATGTAAAGCAATGCATGAGACAAGTGCTAAGTAAAATAAAAGTGAACTTTAAGAAGTTGCCAGTAATTACATCTTTAATTAGACATTAATTTATTTTAGTCAGCCAATTTATCCATGTGCAGACTATCACAAATGAGAAATTGCTCAAAGGCAAATGATATAAATATAAAGGTCTTTGGTATTTCATGAACTAGAAAATTAAACTCTCAGGTGACTGGAAATAATTGGTAATGATCACACTCAATTTTAATATAATAACCGAACTTATTTTATAAATTATGTTTAAAATCTTCTAATATTAAGAACTTTTTTGGTTTGGGAAATAAGGAATTATAAGAATCATTCAATGTTCAACATGATCCTTTCTCTGCTTAGAATTAAACCTAAGTAGCAACAGTTCCTGAAAGCCCTAATACCCTAGTTTCCCTAGGGATAAAATATTTATCTTGGTAGTTTTGATGTCTGAAGCAGAAACGAGATAGGTGCCTATTTATAACTTCAATCAGGACAAATATTTATCAACAGTAACAGATATTTTCAGTTAAATATAAAATCTAATTAGGTCAAAGAAAGTTCTGGTGACGAATATCAATAAGCTAAGGCCACAGAGTATCAGTACATGGAAGAAACCATAAACTGAACATTCTACATGACATGTTGGCCACTTACCTGAAATAACAGAATAAAATGATGAAGACTAAGAGCAGACTACAGACAGTCACAGATATTAGTAAGGCCTTGTGGTGTATAGGTCCATCCACAAAATCTGAAATGAAAAAGAAAGACAGCCATTAACATGAACAATATCTTCACTTAAAAATTAGATAGCAACTCATTCCTATCAGTACTCTCTAACCATCACACACAACATATGAAAGTTCCTTATAACATGCTAGTGGATAAGGAAAATAATATATATGCAACACTTTCTAAGTTTGACACGCACGAATCATTGCATCCAGGCACTAATTTCAAGAGCACGCATTGCTCCTTCTGTCTGGAAGGAACAACTTTGGCACAAGATAACTCCACAAAAAGAGCAGGAACAAAGCTGAATGGATCTCTGCATCTCAACAGGAAGAAGGAGGTCCTCTTAACTCCAGATTCAGCTGAGGGTTCACAGTCTCTCCTTCTGAGTTTCTGAAGCACCCTATACTAGGAGTTCAGATTAAAAAAAAAAAAAGTCAAATCTAGTGGCTAGCAGATGGCATTGCATTTACATCCCCAGACTCCCACATGGCACCATGGTTCGAGTCCCAGACCAGGTGACTTCAAAATCACAGCAGGTGCATGTGTGTACATGCCTAAGACACCCCAGGAGGAGAATGGCCATCCCCCCTGGGGGATTTCTCACTTTCCCTCTCACTGTCTGTTTGCCTCCCTCTCTCCACCCACCCCCCTTCTCTGTCTCTCTCCAAGGAGCTGAAGCACTCTAAGACAAAAAAATATTAAAAAAAAAAATCAAACCTATATCCATTGTACATAAAGCGCAAGGTCACCTTATGATAGATGCAAAGGTCAAGATGACTCAAACACAGAATGCCTGGGTGGGCATCGCTGCAGACAAAGATGCCCGCCAAAAGTGCAACGCTTAATTTGTAAGAAATGGAATCAAAGTAAAAAAAAAAAAAAAAGAGTATATTCTCGTCATTCTTTTAAATTAAGTATTATTTATTTCATGTTACCTTCGTTCTTTACAAATCAGATTTAGTCTTATTCCTCAAGCTTTATGTAAATAAGAATGATTTAGAGAGCTCTATATAAATGCATACTTACTAACTTAAATGTCAGAGACTTTCATCCAACATATTTCACTTTTAAGCAGTCATCCCAGAAGGGATTCTTATGCGGGTGGTCTCCAGGACGTGTTTTCAGAAAACCAACTTAAAGCCAGGTGCAGTTACAGTAATAGAATTTGCACTACACTTATTAAGGATACCATATACCCTGGAGAGAGTGATTACGGCTATTTAATTTTAAAAGGTAGTACCTATACTGTAATTTATGGCCTTGATTGCTATGGAAGAAAGGTTTGCCAACTGTGCTATATGCCTTTAATTATATGACCACCTAAATATTCTGAATGGAGGCTTAATACCATTCAATATACCTTTTTTCATTCAAAAGTAGTATATGTTCCATGAAGAAAAACTGAGAAGCATCAATGAGTTAAAATAAATGCAATCACCACCTCCTCGTAACTCAAGAAAAATCACTAACAGTTCAGCATATGCCACTGCAGCTCATTTCAATGAACACAAAGTCTCATAAGCAAAATAATTCACAAAAAGACAATATAATATTATTCCAATTAGATCACTTGAAGCGGCGGATAAAATGCCTTTATTCATATGTAAATAGTTTACCATGTACTTCCTAAGAACAAGGGCACTGTCATAACAAACAGCAATATTACCGAAATCAGGAAATCAACATAAACCTATAATTGAAAATAAATCTTATTTGTAATATTTCAGAAAACTTTGGATCATTTATTTTAAATACAATAAATAGATCTTTGCACTAATTTCTTATCCAGATCTCGCGATGATCAATGTCATGATATATTCATTGGTGGAAAATGTATGTTTAACAACTATTTATGATAAACAGTGCTTGCACGCTATTCATGAAAATAGTCTGTATCTAAAAGACTAAATAAAAGGCCACTAAACAAGCAGTTTTTTATTGCTAAATTAAGAAATGTTGACACTGATGCCAGCAAATGGAGTTCAGGATCTTGAACCACCATAGTACATGTTCAGAAAGCCATTCGAGATCCAACATCAACACAAATCATATACGATTAGTATATGCTTCATCTGAAATGTGTTGCTTAGCAAATCTGAAAATAATTCATATGCTCCTAACATCAAGCAGGCTAAAATTGTACACAATGTATTATCTTAGTGAGGCTTTTCCTCAGTTCCTCCCTACTTCTGGATATGTACAGAGTTAACCTTCAATCCAGGTGCCATGGTTCCTTAGGCAGTTGAAAACACAACTCAATGTTTTCACATACACGCCAACACACAGATACACAGCACGCAAAGGTGCCACTGAAAACTTGACTTAAAATGTATTTCCCACTTTACCAGTAACAGAGGCCTGATTTTGGCAGAAATCGCAAAAGAGCACTAGATACTCAACAAAAATGAGCTAAAAAACATGTTGCCAGTTTATGAACATGAAGTGCTTCTTTGGCCTGGTGATAAAATTTTACTAAAACGCTCAGCCTCCGAACCTGTACTTTCTATGTAAATGCGGAGCACAACGTGCACCCTGGACTGCAAGAACTCATCTTACTACAGTTCTGATTTACAAGAGCAGTGAGACCGGGAAGAACTGAAGGAGTCCTTTCTTTGCCATCAAGCACGCTATTTGAAGCTAGCATTATTTTCCCACTTTCCTTTTCTTTGCCCCAATAACCCTCTTCTCTGCAACCTTGCCTCCTTGCCTCCCCTCATGAACAGATGATCCTTATCAATAAACCTTTTGTTTCTGTTGGTCATGCTGGACATGTTTTAATCTGCCATTACCTGTGCTCGGAGCATTAACAATGTAAACATTCAACTCGCCACCGGAGTCCTGGGAAAGTGAACCCTTCCAGATACTATCGGTAAAAGAGCGGAGCCAGCAGTTCTCCAGGGGCAGATCTCTGCCCGAGCTGTCACTCTGAATGCCCAGGGAGGCAGCGCAGAACTCCAGGGAAGGCTGCCTCACTGGAGGAGACAAGGAAGGAACGCCGATGGCTTCATAATACAAGGGCAGGCCATCACACTGTCTCCTCTCAGATACTGAAGTGCTTTGTAACTATTTACAAATGCCTGGACTTTTTTTTAATAAGACTTTAAGATGGCTCACCCTTGCATTAAAAAAAACCACCACCATCACCACAACAACAAAACAAACATAAAACGACAAATATCATCTAGCAAGGAAAAAAATCCTGAAAATAACCTTATACCCAAAGATATTTTCATATGCTGTCTGGTGTTATAATCCTTGATAAGTAGGAGACAACTTTCTATTAATAGAGTATGAAGTACCTCAAATGCATTTTTTTAAGAATTATTTTATTTACTATTATTTTTAACTTGACCAGAGAGAGACAGAGATAAAGACAGAGAGAGGGAAAGCTTGGTAAGCAAGCTGTCGGGTCCAGGACTGAAACTGTGGCTGGTCACGTGGGAGTCCAGCGCCTTAACCACCATACCACCTGCTAGGCCCTCAAATGCATTTTGTTTTTAAGACAGGGTCTTGCTATGTCACTATGCTCCTGCCTCAGCCTCCTGAGTAGCTGGGACTATAAGCACAATGGCTCCAAGCTTTTTAGCGTAGGCTGGGAATTGAACCCAGGGCTCCTACATGGCTTCACCATGCAAGTAGCAGGGTGTTACCACGACTGAATTGGCAAATTCTTCCCAGAAAACTATAGTCAATTAATAGTATTCTATAAATAATTTACTTTCACCATATATTTGGATTCTCTGTCACTATGAACGCTAGAAATAAATTCTTTAGAAGAACAATAAAATAGTATTCTAGTTATTTTCCGGTACTAAAAATGCTTAGGATTATATTTCCAGATAACAAAGAAGGTTAAGACAGAATTTATATGTCCAGATTACTGGCTTCAGTGAGAAGGAAAAGTAATAATGACCTCTAAATTCCTGTCATCTAATCTTCATACAAAGTTAACCTGAAATTCTAAGACAGTAAAGAGTCTGAACATTTCAAGAAATGTTAGAATTTCTGGCAAAGAACTTAGCTCAGGTTTATGTGCTAGTTTACAGAACCAAGGGAATAGATGAGGAAACTTCCAGAGAATCATGGAAAAAATGGAGTCAAAGTGATCATTTTATTTTGGTATAAAAATTTTTAGAAATCTATGCCTAGTATTTTCATAAGCATTTTCCATAAACTTCTTGAAGACCTCGAGAACAAAACAGAAGGAAAATGAGGAAAATTCTGGCACTTATCTTGGGGGACACTATCATATATTTAATCCACCTATACTGGGGAGAATATGGGTGATGGTGCACAGGTTAAATATGTTGCCTGTTTAATTTTTAATTGGCAATCACTAAAAAATTGCATTTTAAAACAAATCTGTAAGCTGCCCAAAAAATATTTTTAAAAACTGACTAAGAAAAGGATATGATAAATTTTAATTTTGGAAAGCCTGCATAATTTGCCTTAAACTACATTGAAATTACCATATTTCAAAAAAAATTATTTCTGATACATTTTCTATGAGGTATATATGTAGTGAACATATGAGTATTTATTCTACTTAAACATTTAAGTTTACACCTATACACCTATTTCAAGAAGTTATATGGGACCAGCAGGTGGCATAATGGCTATGTCACTGGACTCCCACATGGCCAACCCTGGTTCAAGTTCCACACTGGGCACGTGTGCATGCTTGCCCAAAATCCCAAGAGGAGAATGGAGGAGAAGTGAATGGGTGTGGCCACCCCCCCCAGGGGGGTGATTTCTCACTTTCTGTTTCTCTGTCTCTCTGCCGAGTGCACATAATCTAAAGCAAAAAATCTCTCTTACAAAAAAAAAAGTTAAAGAAATTTTCTTTTTTTTTTGGGGGGGGGGGGTTTGCTATAGGGGGTGTGCACTCACCAGAAAGACAGAGAGAGACAGAGAGACAGAAAGCGAGAAATCACCCCCCAGGGGGGATGGTCACACCGCAATCCCTTCTCCTCTGATCTGATTAATTTATGATGAAGTTTATGATGAAGGTGCTAC